CACGCTTCAGAAGTGGTGAAAATGTACATGTGATGTGGGTTTCAGAATTGGGCGAGGCAAAATTGCGTTTCACATACGCTTATGAAAATTGGTACATACATGTAATACCCCAATACCTACAAAAAAAGTATCTTAGGTGCGTAGGAGACAACAGGAGATGAGCTATTTTGAACTTCCTCTCCGATTTTGAACAGTTTTTTGTACTTTAACAAACTCCCCCTATAGAGATTTAATCAGATCCACATCATATTTTGTCAGTCTAATATTAAGGCCTTTGCGACGTTCAATTGTGAATATCTAGAGCTTTCGTCGAAGGATGCGTCCTCGGCGGCCTGACAAATGTAGATGTGCAAAACCCAATTTCAGCCTCTGGGTGAAATATGCATCATCAGATAATTTCTGTGTAAATATTGCATGCAGGTCCGATGTTGCTAGGCAACCACAGACAGCCTGCAGCAACTCAGCCATACAATGTCCGATCTGCCCCAAACTTCACGTGTTTGATAAGAGTACTCTCCTAAACATATGACCACGCTCATATTCAGTTATAGCAATAGCGCCACCAGCTGGTAGCAGGAAGTGAGGCAAATACAAATTACGGGCACAGGTGTGAGGGCCCTTTTCATTGATGCTTGCAGCTTTAATATTAATTATTTTACAATATGTGATGCGATCTGGGAAAACCCAACACATGGTGAAATTTGATATATTGCAGGTTTTAGACCATATTAAAGCAGGGTTCAAACCCTTTTCAAGTGTGTTTTTATTTCTTTTATAGCTTGTCTGTAACAAAAGTTATGGTTATCTGAAGTCGGCTGATCGCTATGATTTTCAGAAATGGAATTTTGAGAAAAACAGGTTTAATTAACGGTCACGTCCTGCTAGCGGGACGACTCGCGCTCCTTTTTTATTGCCTTTTTTCATATCAGATATTTTAATAATCATCATAGATTAGGTATCATTCGAAAGCTTGAAAACTCAAAATTCAACCTGTGAAAACCGTTTTGAAATTGGACGATTGAGAGACGAGCAAGGTCTTTTAAGCGAGCAGCTTCAGACTCTGTTGTTCTCTAGTGCTCCGCATCTCACCACACAATAACGCTGGATAAAAATAAATAAATAAAAACTTGTGGGCTGTTGTAGTTCACCCAGGACTGGACTTTATTCTGTTATGTGGTTTATTTTGATGAACTGTCTTTGTAGTGTTAAGAGAAGGAGAGCTAAACGGAAGATATTGTTTTTTGCCCCTCTGCCTGCGTGTTCTTAAAGAGAAACAGTCTTTTCAGCTGGCCATTAAAAATCGCAATTTTTTCCCAAAATATATTCAGAGATATAAACAAGATGTTATAGAATAATAATAACCCAATTTTGATAAAAAACTGACATTCAATCTATATTTAGACTTTACTCAAAAAGTACCAGCGCGACATCCGACGGGTTTTCCCAGATCGCATTACATATTACTGTTTATTGTAATTCAGATAAAAAAAAAAAAATGCATCCTTGATGAGCATAAGAAAGTTGCCAAAGACTGTTCAAATATGTGAGAGAGAATTAAAAAAATTCTGAGAGGGTTTTACCATGCAAATGGCCCAAAATCTAAATTAAAGCACCCTATTAAATTGCTAATATAAGAACTGCCATTAAAAATGTCAAACATTCTTGGAAAACTAGCCAATCATTGTTACACATTCGTAGTAAATTCAAAAATAGTAATAAATATACATTAAGTAATAATAATAATTCAGGTTTTTTGTTTCATTTGATATCAATAACATATCAGTTTAATATAGGCCAAATTGACCTCTAGATACCGACATCGTCATTAAAAAGCCCTATTGGTCAACCACTAATCAAATCTTAATGTTCTTTCTCAGTTCTATGATGTTTAGTATATGATGTTTAGTCAATGATCAAAGGCGACACTCTGAAACAGAGTCACTGTCACTGAGGCATCCACCGCCTGAGGTATTTCATATTACCGTCTCCCAATTACAAGCTCCATACCCTCCAAATCTCAAACACTTGAGGCGTTCTTCCGCACCAAGATGCTTTTGTAATCATTTCCACCTGCCACTCAACAGCTCTGTAGTGCACATCTGCAGTGCTTTCCCACAGATACGGACAGGAAACAGCCCAGTGTCGAAAGGCTGCATCCAAGATTCCTGCTTCCTCTCATACATGCATAATCAGTGCGGTCTTTCTCTCTGCTGCCAAACGGCTCCAAAACAATAGCTGAAATAACGATGGAGGCTGAGCCTGTAAAACCTTTAGCTATACAAGCCCTAAGGTTTGGATAAGAATGTGGAGAGTACACCCAAGAGATTTGAGATACTGCTTTCTGGTACCTGAAGCGCTAAACTCCCAGAGGCTGAGATCTTTGCTCCAGTCGAGATTTCACAAAACCAAACATCGCCTGTTTCTTTAAGACTGAAACCCTGTAGGCACAGCAGGCAATTTGCATGCACTACCTCTAAAGCCTTCGGGACGTTTCACTCAGTAGTGAGAGAAGTACACACACCTCTTGGCAAGGTCAAGAGTAACGGTGCACAACCAAGTGGGAATGACTGGAAATATGGAGACTTGGCAAAAAAATGCTAGATGTTCAGCCTCAGACATGACTTTAGGGCGTTTGCACAAGATGATTCCCATTAGACCAAAAACTAATCTCGCAAGTGAGGCTAAAAAAATAAAAGAAGACGGAGAAGGGGGGGGGGGGGGGGGACTTAATTTTCCCTGCTTGTGACAACAGCAGCACGAGCTCCACCCCTCCCCTGGAGGCCTGGATGCTCTGCTGTGCATCGACAGTCACAGCAGGAAGCTCATCCAATCATAGCAGCCGCTTCAATGGGACAGGCCTAAAGTACTGCGCCAAAGTGATTATTGATTTACAAATAACTCCTCTCCTCTTACACAGCCAAACCAGAAGTCTGCTGACTGATTCTCTGAGACTGCATGCATTTTAGCAGATATAAACATACTAGTTTGTGAGTATTAAAGGTGATCTCTAATTTATATTAACAATTTTTTTGAGGAAATAGAGTGCCTGCCTGTTGTCTTGAGATAAAGAGTAATTAATTGGATGTTGACCAATGTACTGTACAATCATAAATCAAATAAAAATCTATATAAAAAAATAACATCATAACATTACTCAACTAATAACACCATAATACTGACACACACAGTCAATGACAAACAGAATCAGATACACAAGATCAACGAGAGCCTCTTTCTTCGTTAACCTGTTGAGCCAAAAACTAATGCAAATAAATGTCATTTCAGATCCCTTTTAAAGGAGCCTAGAGAAGATGCTAATTTTAGGTGTAATTTTAAATGAACTTTGAAATTCCCTGACACGTATAAAAGTGATTGTCTAACATCTCTATGCTACTATCATTTGTAGCAGACAGTCAAACCTAAATAAATATATAAATATATATCTTTATATTTGCAACAAAGGCAGGAGTTTATGATCCTCCTTCGGCTTGTGTCATTTGAAGATCACTCTCACAATACTAGAACACAACACATTTACGTCATAATTCCTCTAGCAAATCATATGACACTTAAAAGATACAAAAACAACATTACTTACGTCACTCTTCCGGTCAGTGTGGTCTGCACGTGCTTCTGGAATTCAGGATATTTAGAGGCCAGATAGACAAAGTCTGGAGGTTTATCCTTATAACGGTTTCGAGGATGCATGGATTTATTCAGGGCCATTCTTCCTGCAATGTTGCAAGACAGATTGCACGTCACTACAAACAGCAATCAAAAAGATCCACGAATCTTAAGTCGTGAGTAAAATACAATTAAAGAGATAACTTAGTTTATTCCATTCCAGTTTTCTATTCACTTTCTTTGTATTGAGTAAAAACGATGCTTTGAAAGTCAATGGTGACGGAGACTGTCAGCCCCAATTATTCTGCCTAACATCTCCTTGTTACACAGAAGAAAGCAATTAATAAACATTTAAATAGCATAAAGGTGAGTTAAATAACAGAAATTTCATTTTTGGGTGAACTGTTGCTTTAAATTTGGTTTTCCATGAGCATGATTTAAAATGCGACACATATGTGCTATTATTACAGATGTCTATTTAAAGAGAAATCATATTACTCTTGTCTTATTACTATGTAACTTATTAATGTAATAAATTATCACGAATCACAAACGCGCTCAGGGATAATTCTCTTGGTTTATGCTAAGAGAATAGCCAAACAGCTAATACACTGCAAACATGCAACTCTAACGAATAGCACAGGCGACACTCTTTTAAAATAGCGTTTAAAAATATCGGAAGATTAGATGAATACCGATGGGTGAAAACTTCAGGAGTTTATCAGTGTTCAGCACACTCTGCTGTCATTGGCAAGGCAAATCACGTTGTACCAACGTTCAAGTGTTTCTTCCCGGGTTCCGCCTTGGTCACAATTCTGCGTCGGCGCACGCATATGGCGTCATGGGATCGGGTTATTTTAAAACAAAATGTTGTATTTTCCAGTTCATTTGCTAATATATATATTTATTTGTATTTATATTTGAATATTTAACAAAAAGTCACACATTTTCTAAAATACGAACTATAGTAGGGCAGGTAAACCTTTCTATTCTTCTTGCGTAATTTGCTAATGTCAACCTGAAATCTTTTTTTCTTCCATAAATGGATATATTATTTGCTATTTTTTAAAAATCTATTTTTTTTTGCATATATATATATATATATAATGTTTATTATTTAATTATCAAAGTTTGCATTATTTTTTTCTGACCCATTTAATAATTTGTTATTTAGTTGTTTTCTTTAAAATGAAACCATGTAAGTGTGTAAGAACAAGTTTTAACTAATCGTTTTGTACAGTTTGCACTATATGTAACCTGTAAAACTAATTTTAAAGTGGGATATGCAGAAAATGTAGTGAACTGTAACTGTAACCACTGGAAACTGAGTGCCTCATCCCTGTTTTGACTATACAGCATCACTACCAACAGACACATTCATATTTTTTTCTTTAATTATGTTGCAAACAATAACATCCAGATATATTGTTAACAATTGGCTGTGTGAACAGTGATACCATAAAAAGCAAAGAGTCCCATTCAAGCTGTGAAGACTGAAGCCTCCAATATATTCACAAAGTAATAGCTGATGATAGACCTGTGGCTGGAGGATGGACCTACAGACAGGACCTTCATGAGTCTGTCTGTACATGAACCCATCCAGCATGTGCAGAAGTGGGATTGCTTGGGACCTGCGAATAGCAAACGTTCTCTCCGGACACATATAAAAACAGGACATCATCATTGTCATCATCATCATCATCATCATCATCATCAAGACCTTTTTAAAGAGGCATGTCCAATCTTAAGGTCTTAAGGAAAGCCAATCACAAGGGAGTAGCACTTCTCATGGGGATAATAAACTCTGGACAAAGTTAATACATGCTTATATTACAAATGATTAGATTGAGAAATAGTTTTGTCCAAAATTACCCACTTTTTTGGTTTAGGTTTACAGCCCCAGTGCATATGAATCTCTTTTTTGGTGCTGTGTAACACAGTGAAGTGACTGAAGAACCAATGTCAATCGTCTCCACTAGAAACCACAGGAGGCATCAACGGTGTTTGCTTGCGTTGGGCACTTCTCCCTTGGGTTGCTCAGTCTGCCACAATCCCATAGCGAAAATAAAGACGTCACCTTCCTTCATTCAAGCACACACAGATCGGCTTCTACAACCACATACTGAGCGGCCCACTCTTAGCACGCCAGCTGACCTATCTGGTAGGGTGTCTAGCTTCGTGAACCAATCATAGCACATTGTATCTATATATTCAACGTCACTTTGACCTTTTGAGGATGGTCGGACATCAAAAGTGGCCAATGGTTCCCCACCAGACAGCTCAATTCTCAGTACGGTTACATGCAGCAGTGCTACGTGGACAGGTACAGATCTCAGACTAGTCACTATCAGATTTTCAGTAGCAGTAGGTACACCCAGTACACACACAACAGGAAATCGCTTGATAAAAGCATGGTTAAGCAGTGAATTCTTTATTATATAATTGCATTGGAATGAAAAGGCTAATTAAAATGCATTTTGAAGCCTTACATTGCGTAAACCTTCAATCCGATGGGACCGAAAATCTAACAATAGCAGGGATGTGCAAGTTAATTGAACATCTTTTGTCTTCGCACAAAGGCATGTATTTTCCTCAAAAGATATGGAATGGTTTATCTCCATGTTTGGGACTTTATCAAATCATTTCCCATTGTGTTTTTTTTTTTTTTTTGTTAATTTATTAATAGATCAAGCAGAGAAAGTGCCACTCGTCACACTTGAGTCATGGCTTGAGCACCTGTGGTTATTTTAGGGATATTCAGCTATGGTCCACAGTATGAAGATCCCTTTACAATAGGAGTCACCATCAGGACTCTCCACAGAGAGAACAGGCAGATCATCAGTTCGTAGCTCCACAACCTGTTGGATTATTATGAGATTGAGCTATCCAGTTTGTTTTTTTCATCGTAAGCCCATCGTTTCATTTTTTTTCACCATGGAAATCTTTGCACCCATTCTTTTAGGACAGATTTTGCACATCCCCTGATGAGAGGAAACTTTGAGCTCTTGTCATGCTTTGAACCCCATGTCTAAACTGAAATTTATGAATTTTCAAGTCTCTGAGCAACTGCCATCTGAGGCAACGAGATCATTAAACAACAAAGGAAGAATCAGGACGTCTTCATCTGAACGCAATCTTAAACGTTGAGGGCCAAATCAAGTGCGTCGTAAAGGCAACGTTTACGGTGCTTACAAGTTTGAAGTGCTCCTGAGTGACTGACAAATCATAGAGGTCAAAATTAAAAATCTTTACTAAAGCTATCTCTGATTTGGACCAAAAAGAAAAACTCTTGCTGCCCACTACTCAGCATAGCTTTTTGGACGCAGGAGTTCCGTACGAATGCACTCCTATAATTAAGCAGTGTAAAGTCATGTCTCTGGGATTGTACTTTTCAGTAGGACGTGTCATGACAAGTGTACAAAGGTTTATTCCCAAAGGTTTCCAGACAAAACACATGAAACGTTCTTAGATGCAACCAATAAATGTTATCTAAATCCACAAGAAGAGAATGGTAAGTACACTCCAGAAGTGATGCAACAAAGCTACAGAATAACTCTGATAACAAGCCCCAGATCAACTCTCCTCCTCAGCACTATAGGTTCGTTCTGTAGCATATGCCCCTTGAAAGGTCTCCAAGCTAGGCATAAACAGACTAAGACAGTGGGAAAAAAAAAAAAAAAAAAAAGACAAAAAGAAATCAGACACTGTCATTAAATTATCAGTTTAGTGCCCTACATTTAACCCAGTCAGCTTTTGCCTTCGGTAGGTCAGGCTGAGTGAAAGATCAGCCCGTGTTAAACCTATGGTACTTCTAGACAACATTATGTAAATTTACAGTTTACAGTTTTGGATTCACCATGCAAGAATACTTTTTTTTTTTATTTAATAGCTCGATCTACATCCAGAATAATTTACATAAAAGGACACGCTATTGAACCAGAGTTTGGTGGGTGATAACCGTGGTGTTCGAGTGCATCCAGAAGAGCAGGAGGAAGCCGAGGGGGAAGTGGAATGGGTCCGGGGCGTGGAAGGGAGCATGGAGGTGTTGTGAAGAGTCCTGCGGCTATGATCAGCGACACTCCCACACTTTTACTGTTTGATCTACACTCCCAGTAACGACGTACGGAGCCGACTTGTGGAAATCTGTGGAGAGAATAGAGACACTGTTCTTCAGGAACATGCAGACTTGAACTAATAATTAGTATTACTCATAATAAAAAGGCAAACACTGTAATACTTCTTCATATACCGATTCCTTATTTAGCAGTTAGTCTAATAATTTATTAAACAGGAGTGTTAAAAAAAAACAGTTAACTAATGCAGATGGAGAAAAGGAGATCCTATCCATCTGCAATCAGAAAAAAATAAAATAAAAATCCCACTTCTGATATTTATCAGACAAAATAATGTATGATTAAAAAAGCCAAAGATATTGTGTAATGTGATCATTTTTCTCAAACATGGCAGTGTTAGCAAGGTCAATGGCATGAGTTTAGGGTGGGGCTATCTGATCATTTGACAGATGAAAGAGGGGGGACGAAACCAATCTGTAGTTTACCGATTCCTTTTGGTGATGCTCATGGCACAGACATGACACACTTCAGCTTTAAAACATACAAAAAAACACTTCAAATAGCAGGATTCACAAGCTCAAGCAGTGTCAAGGGACCTATAAAAGGAAGTTTGAATCTTCACAGGAGCCTACAGGGGAACTGGCTGAATAACATCAAGTATCTCTAAACAGCTTCAGTGCCTTGATCCACTGAAAGATCTGGACTCGAGCAGTCAAAAGACTGGAGGGTTCAGCATCCTCTTTAAATAAGCTGCCAACGGCTGACAGGACTACCTTTTGTCAAGTTTCAAACTTCAAAATCACTCTTTGGGGCAAGTAAGGGGGTGCTGTAAACCTCTAAAAGGCATCTTTACCCTTCCATGGTCATTACTGTAAATACAGCCACTTACCCAGAGAGGTAACAAAATGTTCATGGGCACTCAAGGTCTTCATACAGCGCTTGTTTTTGTAGTCCCAGATCCTCAAAGTCTTGTCATCAGCACAGCTCACAATGAACTTTCCTCCAGGGTGCACGAGAATCCCACGGACCCAGTTATCATGGCCAACCTAAAGAGATGACACCAAACAAAAAACTTCAACTTCAAAAAACTCACATTCTGCAATGCAGAGACTCACACTAAATTTACTAGATTGACTCACCAGTGTCATAAGGCACATGCCAATGCTCACATCCCACATCTTAATCGTCTTGTCTCTGGAACCAGACAACAGGAAAGGACCAGGTTTCCCGCTCTTCTTGGTCTGGCAAAACAAAACCACAAAAAGAGCATTTGAACCAATGCTGTGGAGCAGCCAACTCTATAAATTTAACAACTAGTGTAATGGCAGGCCAGCTGTTATTAAAATACTAAAAACCAGTAAGCTTTCAGTTGTCACTGATAAGTAGCACCATATCATGAATCACAATTATAATAATAAAATCATTTCCCCCCTCAAATAAATTAAAATCTATTAACATTTTTGTATTCTAAATATATTTGGTGTCAATGTATCAGTTTTCAAGTTTGATGCTGTCATGTCATCGAAAACATTAATTTTGCCAGGAAAATAAATAAACAAAAGCTTATAGCTTGGCAAACAAAAACAACTTCCCTGACAAGTTCCATCAACCCATTTTTATGCAAATAATGGGGTATAGCATAAATAAGAAAATGCCAAGATGCGCATAAATTCGTAAAATTCATGAAAATGTATGTTCTCAATTGAGTTGGACAATTTATCTGGTAAGACGACATGCGCATAGGGGTTGTTGACAACTGGCCTCTTCATGCGTTTTCTCAGATCGGACAGCTATCTGATTTATCGAAACGATTCCATTTACACCTGTTCACATAAAGCGTTTTTCCTAAAACTGATCCGATCTTCAATTCCTGCGCTATAGGCAGATTTAATGAAGATTCGCATCATCGAAAGCAACAGATTAGCTGCATTTTATTGATCATCAGCTAATTTCAAAATCAAAGGCCGCAATAAGAGAGTGGCAACAGCCCTGGTAAGATCATTTCATTTCTTTACTTTTAATGAAGATGATTGTGTGTTAAGTGTCTGCGATTTCGTTTCACTTTGATTTGCGATAGTTTGCGTATTTGACTATAACATTACATATAGCCTATAATACGCTCTCACACACTTTTATTTTTTTTAGCATTGTTGGGAGGAGTACAAGAGGAGCATTTAGACTTGTCCAGTTTCGTCTGGAATGCGGCTCAGACCACCTCCTGAAGTGGTTTGAGCAATCGGATTCAAATCCGTCTCGAATGCGTTTCGAAGGGCATTTACAACACCTGGTCTTTTCTTGATCGGATAGCTATCCAATCACAGAAAACGCATGAAGTGGCAACATGTAAGCAGCCCCATAAACTATAAAGGAAACACATTTACTGATTAAATTTCATGATGTGCATAAATTCATGCGACTTTGCCTCAACAGATCATGTGAACTGGGGCATGATAGAACGGTATAACTGAACTAACCAGCAGACTGATCTTGTTGCACAGAATCTAAAGTGTTGTTTTGCTCATCCGTAAATGCCTTGGTCAAAGTGTTTCAGTAAAATTACCTCCCAGGACTATCTTAAGGCCCCGTCATACATAAGTGAAATCGAAGAATGAACTGGTATATAAATGTAATTTCGAACAAAATCAGGCCAAAATGAACATTACACAACTGCATTCCCAAACAGCAGGTACCCGCCTCCAAAAGAAAGATAACATGACTGTGTTTAATTTATTATATCTTCACCTTCCTAAAATGATTGTCACTTGAAAATGACTTGAGTAAATTGACTATTGAAAATGAAAATGACTATTTTAGTTAAAAAAGGCCCACTGTAACTTCTACTGCAGTAACTTTCATTTGATGGCAGTTAATCAGGAAGTTACAATTTTCTTTCTCTTCAACTCGCTGGATGCAAATGGTGTTTTGTTTAATGTTTTATGCGTTTAATATTTTGCACACAAGTTAAATTCAAAATTTCAGACGGAAACATAGCTACAGATATATAACATCACACAAATCATGTGTGTATAGATTAACAGTATTAGACAATATTAGCATTAGTCAAGTCTTTAAACTAAAACAAGGTTACGGAAACTGCTTTATCAAGACTGATGCCGACAACAGCAACATTAGGAGAGACAGACACTTTAGTGGAGGTACCTATAACAGACATCAAATAACACCACTCTTATGAATTACTGTCCTTTGAATTCCACACCTCAAAATAGAGTACAGAGACCCATTACACATCTCGTGCCGTCAATAAAAAGAGGGATATAACAAGAGCAGCGGTGTTTGAGGCGATAATGCATTTAGATAGTTCAGCAAAGAATGGACGGTCATTACATTCAAGGCCTTATCTATTATTTCCCTGCCATAAAAGGCCAACTCTGCTCGAGGTGAAGTGTGAACGACACACAAAAACAAAATTGCTCTTGATGAGAGGCTGGCATGCTCAGACAAGTGTGTTCAGGGACATTGACACAGAGCTGCTGGAATGACATACAAGGCTTTGTTATTAACATCTGTGGCGGTTTTATGGATATCAAGAGAGTGTTTTAATTCCAACCTGAATAGGTTCAACAAGACCAAATATTGTTGCTTTTTTAATATTGAGGCTAAAGTTTCCTTTACACAATAGTAATTACTGTAAGGGTTAAAGTCTGTATTTAACTTGCTGTGAGGGCTAATGCTTCAGCAGATAAAGATTAAATTGGATATGGCTGATCATAAGACTGGCAAAAAAATCCAAATGGTACGTTCTTCACCTTAGGCCATCAACTACTAATCCCATCCATGTAATTTCATGGTCTATTTCAAACCATTGTACATGACAAATTTAAATCGTCAGTTGAAAATCAAAAGGACCATCAAAATGTGTTTACAGTGCACAGCAAAGGGATCAATATAATATTTTAAAAATTTAGCATTTACAAAAACAAAGAACCATTGATTCAAACCTTTTTTTTTTTTTAAATAAAAGGTTTAAAGAAGTGGAATTATTTTTCCTGTTGACCTGTAATAAAATCTGAAAGCTGAGACGAATAATCGATGAGTGCGATTTGCTAACCGATTTATCGGGTTCATTGAAAGAATCAGATTATTCACAAACCAGACATTGTATTGCCAATATCTTTTAGCTTAAAATAACAAGGCATAATGTTTTTTTTTTATGTAGTGGAGATAAATGTATGATAGCATGCTTTGGAAACGTGGTGAAGTAAAATGAATAATGAAGAACATATAATTGACAAAATGTACTCAATTACAGAAACAAAGTAAAAATACTTTACTGTCCACCACTAATTACTATAGCAAAAACAATCGGAGAAGCTGTTCAAAATAATTACAGACATGCACTTCATTACTATTAGTCAGCAATTACACATTAACTATAATTCTAATATATATGAAATTAGTCTTTCACTGAACTTTATCGACAAGAAAAACACTTGCCATTATAAATACCACAGAATTCCTTTTAAATCTGTTAAAAGTGGTTTCAGAAAGCATCTATGGAATTAGTAATTATGTAACATACTATAATGGCAACAAATATTTGCCATCACCAATGCTACATTATTTCCCCCTAATTTTCACTTTGTGCTCTCACCTCTGAGCCGGTCGCCTCCAGGATGGTGGGATGAGCACTTTCAGGGGCCCAAGAAATGCACTCCACCACATGCTCATGCTCACGAAGCTCCGCCTTGCATTCTTTTGTAGCCACCACCCAAACACGCACCGTTTGATCATTAGAACTACTGGCGATCAGGGTCCCGTCCTGGTTGGGCCGCACCATGCGCACCCACTCTCTGTGGCCAGTGAATGTCTTCACACAGTACCTGTTAAGCATTTCCAACAAACACAGATTTAGCCACATTTATTTATGTCAAGAACATTTTAGGTATCAAATATCTCCAAGTTTGTCACATATGTTTGCAAGTCACATCTGACTATTACAACTTTGAGAGCAAAAAGTTGATTACTTGTATGAACATTTGCACAGGCGCTATTCAGCTGAAGTAACTCAACACAGTAATTGAAAGGCCAGTTTTGTTGAAGGAAGCTATGGTTAGACACATTGATCTAAAACCAACCTGTTTTAGCAGCCCAGGACTTATGCATGTATAGTCATGACTTATGCATGTCAACAATATGCATGTAATAAATATCAAATAAAAAAGAAGAAACCTGCATACTGCATTTGCTAAATGACTTACCCAGTAGCCACCTCCCACATTTTAATGGTTTTATCCCTTGAGGCAGAAACTATGTGATCTCCATTGGGCATAATAGCTACAGATGAAACATTATGGTCATGCCCTGAAAAGAATAAAAAATGTTAGTAAAGAATTAAGTTTAACATTTTCTAAACTGTCCTGAAATTGTCATTCAAAGAAGGCCCAACAGTGTCTGAGATGGATGCATTGAAATCATTTCTCGATTCAGTGCACAAAATGCACATTTCTACCATACAAATCTAGACAGTCATGCACATTAGCGTCTGACAATGTACGGTTAAGGTTTAAAACACATTGAAAAATTTAATGGAAAATAAGAAGCCGCTAATTTGCCTTGGGCTGCTTTGTTCTCACAGTGTGCAGGGAAAAAGATGAGCTAATTACACAGGACGCCATTTTTAAGCTCCTCAATAGATGATGAAACTAAGTAGCCTAGAAAAAGCAGTCTTAAATATGGGGGGGTGGGGGGCACAAAATGTTATCTCGTCTCAAAGAGGATAATTAAACTGCTGTCCAAATCTCCTAATCTTCCACTAAAGCAGCCGACCCACGAAGCGAGACGGGGGGAGAGAGAGAGAGAGTGAGAGCGAGCAGAAGGGGGACTAGCAAACAGAAGGTAGGGGGGTTCCTTTGCCACCTCTTCAAAGATAGACTGTGCTAGAACAGTCTACCCTAGTCTCAGGGCATCACGCCAGCTTTAGTGATGGGTGTAAATTACAAGCCTTTAGATTTGTGCATATTACAAGCTGTCGCACACATTATTTGGATTATAACCACTGAGGATTTCCACATTTTTTATATGGATTACAAATGTCTCAAGGGAAACTCTAAGAACACTTAACATGTTTTTTGAAATGTTAACAAACATTTATGTATTGTGCAAGACAAATGATAGGGCACATCCATCCACGGTATCTATCCTTACTGTTAACCAACCAGCTGACTTATTCTTGAACCAACGCTGCAAAAGTGCATTTGTGTATTTTGATGCACATTATCAGTGTTTTTGGTTTGTATTGTAAGATTCTAAAACAAAACAATTATTTGAGCATTTTGAGTGTATTAGTGAGGTTTTGATACAGTTTGAACTTTATAATTAGTGGAATATAAAATGACTGGATCGCAGACAGTTGTGCCCCCATCCCCCCTTTTCATCGCAGATTTTCACACAGACTGTTTTTGCACTTTTCCAAACCTGTGGTGAGATCTGACCCCAGCTAAAACGGGGGTTTCATGACACTAAGTGTTAACTATCCATCTAACACATGGAAAGATATATTTTGACATAATACAGCACCCGTAAGGCAAAATGCAAATTCACTAATGGTGTGATCTCCCATATGAAAAGCCTGAAGGCCTTACCAAGCAATTAGGATTTTAAACAAGGAATAGCTTTCGGAGGACTGGATCTCTCACTTTTGTGGAGTGGGGGAATTTTATTTTATTTTTTACATCAAAATGTTCTAAGAATAAACATTGTACATTATATCAAATGAATAAATACGAATTATAAACAAATATTTAAATATATTTGCATATAATATATTTATAGGAATTGTCAATTAATAATAAAATAATTATACAATAAAACCTTCATAAACAGCACAGTTATATTTGATTAAATGTGTTGAAGGCTGGCTTCTAATTCAGGAAGTATCGCTTATGGATTTGTTGGCAAGCTGGCACATAATGAGCTGCATTCAGCACCTGCCCCCTGACACGCCACACTGCTCCTAACAGTTCCCAGAACCAATGACAACATATGACACCGTGCTCACCGTGCATGGTCCTGATACACTCAAAGCCCTGGAAGTCCCAGAGCTTAATGGTCATGTCTGCTGAACAGGAGGCTAGAAGCTTTCCAGTTTGGTCAAAGGAAATGTCCTGCACCGAGTCTGTGTGGCCCTTGAGGGTACGCTCAAAGTCACCCGTTTCATAGTCCCAGACCTGGATCAGACACAAAACACATTTTAGCCCAAGATGAGCATCTATTCAATAATAATTAAAAAAAAAACATTAACTTGTTTGGCAGCTTGTAATGATAAGGTAATACATAAAAGGCAGGTTTGGACTAGTATCTGCTATTATATATTCAGTGAAACATCTGTTATGCAGCCAGCTTTTAAACGCTATCAAACACGCAAGATTGCCCTCTGGATACTATCTATAGTGTGAACGTTTTTTCATTTAGTCTTTATCAGCCTGTCAGAATTTCATCCCATATTAACCTTACAGTATCTACTGCACTCCAAGCAAAATTGTGGCAGAATATTTGACAGGTTTACCTTAAAACTCAGTTTTCATCATTTTCTTTATCATTAAAGCATTTTTGTGAAGTGAGGCAAATGTTATCTGCTTGTTCGCCTGGATGCAGCAGTATGATAAACAGCCTCAGGGCTTAATGTGAAGATCAGGTTTCAGCAGTTTCTAGGCGGCAGCCAGACACACGGGGATAAGCTCTGTCTGCTACATAGGGGGCCGGTGACAGAAGCCCCTCCACCTGCTTATCTGTCTCCTGCTTGCAAAGGGGGAGACTGAACTTAACCAGTCGTGTTCTGATAGAAAACACGCACAAGAAAAGCCTGATGTGGCACACCTGGGTCAGTCAAGCACGTAAGCTTTAACAATGTGGCTGAGACTGCAATACTATTATAGAGTGTATGCTACATCTGTTTTTAGCAAGGACTTATATCTGCCCTCATTGATCTGTCTGTATGTGCCTGATCATCAACATACTCTCACCTTTACTACAAAAATCAATACAAATTAAATTGAAAAAAGTTTGGAAATTGTAGGACTACAGCATAAATTCTGACTGATATCAATAAGGCAATAATTATTTTCTTGCTATGGCTAAGTTAACCAATAAATGGCCAATACTGAAATTACATAGTACATTGCCTAAATAAATTGAAGATAAAACACGAAAAGTATCACAGCTTTTGAGAGGTACTTAAGATTACATTGAAGAGATTTATAAAATTATGTTTTTAAAGACTAACTTGAGTGTTAGATGTTAGTTATGTGGATATGTTGGATTTTTGCAAAGGTAATCTAAATGTAAAAACAAAGCAAATTAGCATGCACAATTTAATTTATTTGCTAATCAATAAATTTAGCCAATAACAGATATGGTCCCAACATATTGTGCGTCCCTAAAAATCAGTTCATTTTTATCTGAAGAACAGAGGCTGAACAAGACTATATAACAAGGCTTAAAAAGCAAGGGAAAATAAAAACAAGAGAAATGCTGATGAAATTAACCATGAAGTGCTGAATGAACCGAGACTGCTTTTTTTTAGACAAGAATGTTGACGTTCAGATAAATTGTGGAGATGAAAGAAAAAAAACTGAATGTTCGAGCGCATGTCATCTTTTCATGCGCATGTATAAAACATCACAGTCTGAAAAAAACATACTTGCACATGAAACTAAACTGCAAACCTGAATTGGTTCAAACTTTGTTTGATTCAATAACCCGGCTAAGCAAGAGAACTGTCAAAAAAGCTGTCAAACTGCTTATTAACATGTTTAAGAAAGAAAAAAATGCTTAAGTAAAAAAAAAAAAAAAAGTCCTGCCACAGCCGTCCGTGGCCATCTGCATTACACCGAAAAAAATTTGGAGAGAAAAACCCAAAAAATTTGGCAGCACAGCTTCAGGCTCCATGATAATTAGCTATGAATATGTGGATGGAGAGAAAAGAATATATTTGGGGATGGGGGACAGAATATATTTGGTTTAGCTCTAGCTGTCTGGTTGAGGGCCACCCATGTTAAGATTGGCAGGGCAGGGTTTAATAGCACCAAGTACAAAATTAGGGCACAGGAGGAGGGGGCACAAACTCAGACTGGTGGCCATAGCTGCCAGCACCAAGGTGGGAAATTAATCACTCAAAAAACAAATGTCCAGGGAAAAAAAAGGGAATCCTTTGAAGGATTTATTGGGAGGACTAGGACTATGCCTTTCATATATTATACCTCTGAATTTTTTGCCTGATCTAAAGTGTGAAAATGCTCCCTCTTGGCTTTAAAATCAGCAACAAAAAAATCCTCAATAAGTGGCTATAAATAGGTTGCTGGGCTCGGTTATGAATAGCAGGCAGGCAGAAACAGCGTTTATTACCACGGGATAGTCATACTGCTTGAGCAGACTTGTATATTGTGTAGACTTGTATATTTTATAGTGTGTGTCTCAAGAGATACTGCATGAACAAGCCAAGAAAAAAATTTCAAATTTCAAATTTACAGCTCATTCAAGACAAGGCGCTGCAATTATATCAGTCAGTTAGTCTAAATTTGATGGGCCATTTTGACACTGTAAATCAAGATTTGATCAAACCAATGTAACAAATTCAGGGCCAGTTTTATAGGTATGAGATGTACACCATGCAGGATGAGTGCTTGATAACGCCACAGAAGACCTCACCTTTATTGTTGCGTCCTCTGAGGCAGAGACTATGACACTGAAAACAGGATGGAAAATGACTCTGGTGACAGGACTCCTGTGGCCACTCAGGGCGTATCTCTCCGGCGGACGGGGGATCCATTCTTTGGGGTCTCGCTTCTGTGCAATTGGCCCACCTAAAGTAATCTCCTCTTTTGCCTCATTCAGTTTTGATTCTAATTCCATGACCTAGCAGAAAGCACAATGTGTAAGACTCATCATTAAACACAGCAAATTAAATGAAGAGTGACATTTTGGAACACAGTTTCTGCAGTTGAAACACAGCGTTTTTAATCCCAGACTTTTGCCATTTCAGAACATGAATAGTCAATGAGTCAAGGCTGCCATCATGGTTCTTAATAGGATTTGCATTAAATATGAGAGGCACAAACCTTTTTCTGTAATCTGATGACTGATGTCCATTTCTTTTCCAAAAGACCTGCATACTTTTTATCCAATTCCTCATTCTGGTGACAAAAGATGACACAAACTTTACACCTTAGCACAACACACTGCAAGAAATACAAGAATTACATACAGTCTTAAGCAAAACCCATCACCCCGGTGGCAAATGTAAATTCTCATTAAATCCCTTCACATGGTTTAATCTCTGGCAGTCAACGAGAGCTTACCAAGATTACAATTACACAAACACAGTACAGTCAAAAATTGAGGGTGCCTGGCACCAACTAGACCTTTCTGTAAGTCACATTTAGCTTTCAATTTGAGACATGAATCCCATTAGCATTCTCTGATCAACAAAAACCAAAACAAATAACTACAGTACTAACAATATCTATAGGGGTAGGCAGAGTATGACTTCCATTTTATATGCATAAATAATAACAATAAATTAAATTTAACTGAGATTTATGTCGATTTTTGGACAAAGAGCTCCTCTTAAACATACAGAACAGTAATACCAGAGCCTGTTATAGCAAACACTTGACATGAATGTTGTTTTTACTTCTGTGAATCATTACCCTCATTCGCAATTCCACTTTATTCAAGACTAATTATAATTCAGTCAAATTCTGAAGTATGAAAATCCAACAAGACTAATTGTGCGTAAACCCTGACATTAGACATTTTTACGGATGTGTTTTTAAATAGGCAAGCTGAACAGTCTCAGCTGGAAACCAATATGAAGGTTCTGTTTGCTGAAAGAAGTGTACACATGGCTCTGCTTCACTAGACTGCTCTCTAACCATCAAATATGCAAAAGCATAAGACAACTCCCAGATCTGTGGGTGATGGAAAAAAAGGATGTGGCAGACAAAGAGAGGAGAAGCACTTTCGGAGTAATATTAGAGGTGTCCAGCAGAACAGGTGCCGTTTTTGTGATGAAAAGTGGAGTGAGAGGGGTCGTGTCATGCGTCTGAGGGTCATTTAAAGCCTCTGCAGAGGTCTGATCCGCCATCTGCCTGGACCCTCTGCCACGTGTGGCGGCCAATGGCTAAATACCAGCCACATCAGCCATGCCAGCCTCTAATCACTCCTGTCTGACAGTCCATCATCTCCCTCCAGCCATCAGAGAGACACTCTTCATCTACAGTTATGCCTTAAGTCTCAAACCCCTGCTACCTCTTACCAGCTGGAAGGATCAATGAAGAGATCTCTTCTGCTAAATGAAGCCATGTTAATAGCATTCTAGTTAATTAAAGAGAGCTTTTAGCACCATAGACCACCTTCCGGTCGATAAATCTGATAAATAATTCATCCTTCTCTGTACAAAGAAAATAAACAATTTATCTTCTGTCCAAACAGGAGTGCTTTTAAACAAGAGCTTCTATGTGTGCAAATGGCTCTCACATTTCCAGACGGCATATTATGCAGAACCGTTTTTGCTGAATTTCAGTAATTATCCTGGTCTATTCTGTGATAATGGAGACACTATTCAGCATGTCCCTTTATCATTGTGAACCATCGCTTAGACAACAGGGAGCATCGGGTTTACACATCTACCACACATCATAATTATCTCAGCACTACCTTAATTCAGCACGTGCGCTGTCAGTCACAACCTCATACAGAGGTGCCAATTAAAAGGGGAATACTTCAAATGAAGAAATATTGCTTTGACTGAGGTTTAAATGGAGGGGGGTTCCCACACTTACCATGTCTAATTCTGCCTCCTTTTTGAAAACGGAATATCCCTCTTCATAACCATTGGAGCGAAGGTAATCAGCTATCGCTCGGTTTCTGAAAAACAAAGAAAGCCTAATTAGTTCTCTTGATAACCAGGCTTTATGATTGAGGATTAAGAAAAGAGCTGTGGTAAGAGCTTTTTACACAACTGAAAGAACATGTGAACACATATTCAGACTGTGGTATGTTGGAATTTCGTTATGAGACAAAACAACTGCTCATGGAAAACTCCTTATGCTTTAATGGTGAATCAGGATCGATAAAGAGTGTGCAGGGAAAAACACTGATATGCAAATTGCTCAGTAAATTTCAGTCCTGAGCCAAAGATGTGCCCTTAAAATACACTTATGAAGGCAGTATATCTGATTAGCTTGGATAAATCACCCAAAACACAAAGAGCAAAACCTGGAAAAAGCATTAGTGTACAAATTGTTGATTGATCTACTTTTAAAGGGTAAGATTTTGCAATATTACCGATAACCAGGGGTGTGACGAGATCCCGTGCTACAAGCTCCCTGGTACACGGAAATTAGTCTGCATACAATAGCCTATCTTCCAATTTCAAACCTATCTATGGACTGTGTAGTTGTAGCTTTGGTCTATGTTTGCACTTTGAATATTGAGAGAGTACTTCGATGGTTGCACTTGCACTTATTGTTGGCCCTTGATAAGATAAAACTGTTGTTTATTTTTATACTGTTTTTATTTCTTTGTATGTGGAGTTCAGTTATGAGGTCTCACACAGCCTCAATCAGAAGTTCTAGAAACTCATTATTTATGTACACTAAGGGAAAAGAAAGTCAGTTGGATGTGGAAAAACCTTTTATAGTGCTTGTAAAGTGTTGTCTTTCAATGCATTTTAATAATCCATACTCAAAGTAGAGCTAAAATGACATTAATTACAAGAGTATTAGTTCAAACATTTCAAAACGCACCTGCAGACTATTTTTACAGAAATTAATTTTGTCATGAATGATTTCTATAAAATATTGTGCAAAAATCTCATCTCGTTCTTGTGAATCCAATCTTGTCTCGTCTCGCCAGTCGCCACCCCTACTGATAACAATAAACGCACATACATTACTTTCCTTAATTGATTAAGATGAAATTACATGTAAATAAAGTTATTTATAAATAGACTTTATTCATAAGTGTCATGTTTGTGATTTTCATTTGTCATCTACCCATAAGATATTTATGAAATCAAAAAAGACTTGCGATTTTATGACAATTTTATTTATTCAAACACAGAAGACATGTTATTTGTGTATTTTGTCTTTATTTTGTTAGTATTGGAAATTCCAACAGCCTTCCTTCATTAGACAGACGACTAGGGGGGTGTGACGAGACACGAGATTGGGTTCATGAGAATGAGATGAGATTTTTGCAAAATTTCATAAATCGTCAAACAAAATTCATGACTGGAAAAATAGTATGGAGGTGCATTTTGAAATGTTTTAATTAATAATCTTCTAATGCATGTCATTTCAGTTCTACTTATGAGTATAAATTATCAAATCCATTGAAAAACAACAATACACAAGCACTGTAAAAGGTTTTTAATGACACTTTTTTTCACCTGTATGATTTCACACAAGTCTCTTACTGTACATTTATGAGCTTTCAGAACTTCTTATTGAGGCTGTGTGTGACCTCATAACTGAACTCCTTTCCACAAATTGAACATAGAAATAAAAACAGTATAAATTACAAAAATAAATAACAGTTCTCTTAAGACGGGCATAGCCAAACACTGTCTGATTTTGAGCCGAATTCTGACTCGGGCGACTCTTTTTCGGGCCAAAATGTGTGCATGTTCAAATAGAATACAAATGCTTTTTACTTTAGTAGGGAAAAAATATGTCAGTTATTAGAAGGAAGCATCCACCTCTGCTTTCAACACATTCTGAGCTGCTGAGGTGTCAGCAAGACTGTGGTGAGCGGAAGATATTCACTGATAGTAGTGATAGTGAAGACAAAGAAGGCTGTCAGAGACGCCACTCTGCTGTCCAAACTCTTCCTGGCATTGTGATGCCAGAAGGATCCACAGCCCAATATGGAAATGCTGTTTCAGCAAGACAGCCACATTGTGCACATATTCTCTTAAATCAAGATCAAAATCAAGATAGAAAACAAGAATTATAATATCTATAGACCAGTCACCAGACAACAAAGAGTCTAACAGCATACAGGCAGAAGAAAAAACTCATGGTTAGAAATCCATAAAGTGATTATATTTACACAGTGTGAACTATATGGTGTATTGGCCAGTTCACCAAGGAGCAGACAATGAAGTGACAGATCACTAGCATCATATCTACTGACAGTGAGGGTGCTCTGATTAAAGTCAAGGTTAGCATGAGGTTATCTCTCATGTGACAGACAGCAGGAATGCACTACACTGCTTAATGCTGAAGGGGACAATTGTGTGTGTGTGTGTGTGTGTGTGTGTGCGCGTGTGTGTGAGACTCTACTCTGCTTTGAGTTGGACATGCTTAACAGATACCTTTCCTAGAGACACAGCTCAACAACAATGAATCTTTGTGAGTCAAACAGGGTCGTTAGCAAAACAAAACTGTGATGATTTTGGCCATGTACATTCTGGAAAGTTTTGGGAGTGACAACCACAGTTAAATGCAGCAGTGAAAGCCATGAATTCAATGACGTATTCAGCGTGTATATTGTATACAGCAGTCAATTACACGTGCAAACACGTGATGACAGCAGTTCAAAATCAATTTAAAACCAATAAATGCAACCATCTAATAAATTTAATTAATTAAAACATCACTAGCATTATATTTTGGACTTCAATTAAATAAGGTCAATTTTAGTTCACTAAATAAAGAAATTTATGTTATCATTTACTCAAATGGTGAATAGGGTAAAAGGTGAATAGGGTAAAAACAGGTGAATAGGGTAAAATTTTTTAAATCATAGATAATCACCATGAAACTTCCTCAGTTGATTAATGAAATTCAATTAATGAAAAACTAATTTTGTGAAAAAGGCATTTAAAGATTTAAGTAGGGAATTTAAAACATTTCTATTGGAAAAAAATTGCTCAAAAACAGAATAAATGCTCAGGCCCTTAGTATTAATATATAATATTTAAAGCTCATGAAAAATCATTATTTAATAACATGGCAGGCATATAAGGCCCATAACTGCAGTAACTCAATGAATTAACATTGGCAGAGTACACCACGTGATGTGTCGGAGCGAATCACGTTAGAAAATGGAAACCATACCATTAACCAACGAGATTTCGTCATTAGCTTTAAATCACCCTTTGGACATTCACGATTGGTTACTAACAGAAAGGAAATGCACATTTTTGGGTGTTGCGCATGAGATCCAGAGCTTTACAACAATACCGCTCATTACAGACTTCAGTAAACACAGACGGGACGCGGCATGACGCACTGGAATGCTAACTTCTTGGTAAATTCAGGAGAAATAAGTAAACAAAATGTAATAAAATAAACATCTAAAGTATATTTTCAACGTTTTCTTTATAGCAGCTTGAAAGAACACATATTGAAGGAGTAAACTAGCCCAAAATCTCAAATCTGATCACTGCATGAAAAATCTATGTTTTTGCCTCCTGTTTTGCCTAATGCATTTGAAGACGCATCACCCCGCAGAAGGTAAAATGCGTGTGACAGTTAGACCCTTAGGTGCATGATAGTCCTCAAACAACTGCCCAATTGCTTTTGAATAAATGTATTTGAAACCCTAGATCTCAATAACAGCAAGCCAAAAGAGATATTTTTCGCAACACGAATAAAAGTGGAAATAGTACTAAAAAAATAAAAAATGGCAAATAAAAGAAAACATTGTGAACAAACAAATGAGTGCTTAAAGCTCTGGGCTGGGATCCATGGAAACCGAGAAGCGAAGTGGCGAAGAACTTCAGTGGACAGAGATGCTTTAAGACAATGAACAAAAGATAATCTTCAGTTAGAGAGTGCTTCCTCAAAATAACCAAAGAACTGTCTCAAAACATGCAGAGCTGCCTCTTTAGACAGCATTTTTGGCTAGTGCATACAGCCCTATGATTTCCAAGATGTGGAAAATGCAGACGGAATCACAGATTTCAGACACAGATACAGGAATTCCCTGTATAATAAATTTGGATGATACATTACTAGGGTTGGGAACTTTTCCAGAACCGGTTGTGTTTTTGAAAAAATACCGGAACCGTGCAAAATTCCTAAGTTTCGGTTCTGATGCCGATGCGATATCATCATGTGGGCGAAGTGCTGGGAGTAGAAGACGCCGTCTTATTCCTAAATGACAAAAACTTCACCACTGAAGTTGCGATTTGCTCTCACACGCGGTGCATTTGTCACACACAGACACACGCACGCTGCGCGCGCCGACCGCCGAGTCACTCTCTAGCCTACATTCAAATCTGTTTGCGCTGAGAGAGAGAGAGAGAGCAGTTGTCGATATGAAACTGCTTTACAATCACACAGTCTCAATATTTATTTGTTTCACATATTCAAATGATTTCCGTTACAGAATTAGTGAGATTATAGTTTGAGTAAACATTGACGGTAGTGGTCAAAACAGATGCAGTCCGTATATTTTTTGTGTTCAGAATTTACAAAATATATACAATGAGCAGTGTTGTGCAAGTTACTTCCAAACTGTAATACATTAGGTATTACTTGTTACTGTTATTTAAAAGTAATTCATTACCTTACAATATTACTGTCCCAGTATTGTAATGCGTTACATTACTCATGTATTACTTTTGAGTTACTTTCACCAAAATAACTAAGTAGAACTTAACTTTTGGGCTGTAACGATATGCAATATGAAACCGAAATCGCGATTCGCCACACGACTCAGATCCACGAACCTACAGAATCACGACACATCTCTTCCAACTCCAGCGTTATTCTCCTTACCGTCCAGATCCAATGCTGCCTTATCTTTAAATTAGGCTATTAGTATTATTTGAAGTTAACATTATAAAATACATAGACCTACACCACAAAACTAGTTGAGGATAAATTATTTAAAATTGGGGAAGTCCAGCATTA